TGAACTGTACCTTCTTAATCAGCTCTTTGTTTGTGTCCTTCAAATGGATGCCTTCATAAATATTATGGCCATGACTCTTATGGAAATGAAAAAATCTTAGTTTTTCGGACATGTTGGACGCCTTTACCGAATATAGGCTTCTTATTACGGCTTCCTTGAAGTTGGTATTTTCACACTCTTGTAGAAATTTCTCCCTTGGAGTATCAATGAGAGTATAAGATGAGAACACGATTGAAGGTTCCATATATCCATTGTCTTGACGGTAGTTGTTGTCTCTCTCTAGTCTCTGTCCATTTTTTAGGTTTGTTGATCCCTAACCTTTCTTCACGATTGATGTAGGGTTGGAACCTAGTAAGAATATTGTTTAAGCTAAGGGCTCTTTCTATCCATAACTTCTCATTGAACACGTAGTCATGTCTCAATCCCTTTTTGAATATCCAACACTTTAATTAATGATTATTTCCCTTACTTCTACTACTATATTAGTACACTGATTAATGTACTCTCACATGGTTTCCTTTTTCTTTGTTGAATCTTATTGAGTACGACTATCATGACGGGATTTCTTTTTTGAACAATGAATTGACCACGAAAAAAGTGAGTGTTTCTTCCACGAGTTTATGCTCCCATAGAGGAGGGCCTTGAACAACTTCATTGTGGATCCTATGAGGGTTAACATGGATAATTTTCATTTAACACCTCTGAGCATGTTAGTAGTCGAGTATAATGTTTACATGCTCGATATGCTCGTCTAGATCTCCCGATCCATCATAAAGGTCCAACTTGAGAGGTTACTTGAGAGATTTTATGATCCTTCTATCGAGGATGCGCTTCGAGAATGGATTTTTTTTTCCTATGGGGAACCTGTAGTGTTAGATCCATGATTTTAGGATTGGCATCAATTTTTCTAAAACATGGTTCTTATATGATGTTGAGCAAGATGTTACAACATCTTGATCATCTGTCATGACAGGTTTTGCTGTCATCTGTTTTAGACAGATGTTGAGCCAGATGTCGTGACATCGTTGCCTATGTACAACATGTGCTGCTGTTATTTTTTCTTGAAGATTTGATTGAAAAATATGAGATTTTGGTACTCATACAGGAACAACTATTCAATGATATTTTAGAAACAAGTGCAGATTTGATTTCATAAAAAGGATCTTTGAGACTTTTTAGGAAAATTTGAAGATTTTGTTCCTGTTTTTGTGTGAAGATATTGCAGCTAATTTAAAAAGTGAAGATTAGTTTTGATTGAAGATTCCAAGCCCATACTACAAGAGTCTATAAATAAGGACTTGCTAAAACTAAAATAGCAAGCATTCACAACAAGAAAATTGTGGGTGCAACATAAGGGTTTAGGGTTTTGGGAGTCTTTTAAGTTCTTTGTGTTTTTGTTCTTTGTATGTCACTCATGTATCTTCTGATACATTGAGGTTGGCTGATTATTCTTAGTTGAAGCTTTTAAGCAAAACTAAGGATTATTCTCACTCATGAGCTTTAAAGAAAAGAGTTGAGTATTATATTTGAAGTGTAATCTTCTATTTGGTTCTTTTGGTCTAGTTACAAGGTTTGTGACGGTAGGTATCACTGAGGTGATTGGAAGTGATAGGGGGATCTCATATCTAGATGTGTCTAGGTAGAAGTTGCAGAAGGTTGGGATTAAGTGATAAGTTGTAAACTAGGGTTGGTTTAGCTTTGAACTAATACTGTCATAGTGAATTTTCTTTCTGACTTGGTAGCTCACAGAGTAGGTGACGTTGCATCTAACTGGGTTAACAATTGATTATGTTGTTTATTTTTCTGCATAACCTTCTGTTTTAGCAAGTATTTTCTGTCAGATGATGTCATAACATTTGTCTTGAGATTGTGTTGGTGTTGGGACATCAGTCTTGATATCTGTATTTCAAGTGCCAGATAGTGTCGACAACAGATGTTTGGTGGGGTCAACTTTTTGCTCTTTGGGTTAGGCCTCGTTGCATACATAATGGTCCTTAGGAGGAGCATATTGTAAATTTTCTTTAATTTGTAGTACTCTTTCATCCAAAAAGAGTGTGAGTTATGTTGCTGCACTAGGTTACATACACTATTGAGAATATGTTAGCCCCTTGCACACTTAGATTGGCTTGTAGCTGGTTGAGGATTTAATGCAACTCTAGTATGTGAATCAACAGTTGCGATTGATGTTTCCTTGAGGTCTAACCTTGGAGTGGATGTTGAAAAGACTAGAAAATAAGAAGGACTTAAAATGTGTCTTGGCTGATTGTCGGAGGGCATGGATTTCGTAGTTGAGGAGTTGAGGGAGAAGTCACAAGGATAGGACTATCCTCAATCGTAAGAGTAAGTGGACTCTCGGTTGTGAGATCTAGAGCATCACTTTTTTCATTAGTTGCATTGTGTGTAGTGTATAATTGAGTAGCTTTTGATGTCTCCATTGTTTTACGAGTTTTATCAGTGATTCAAACAAGAAATAGACCATACTATTCTAAATTACTCTGGAGAGATTTTGGTTTCTCTTAGAATTTTGCGAGAATTCAATGTCATATTCCCACATACGACATAATTGTTCTATGCAAGAAATTAAAATAGTTAATGAAAAAGTGAGATAGGGTTTCAATGCAACAGAATAGAGTGGACTTAAAAGGTTAGCACTCCAATACCCAAGTTAATGAATTAATGAGAAATAGGTTGAGTGTGAGCGTGAGTTAAATGTTTGGATATCAACGTGTGCAGAAATGTATATATGAAAGAAGGTTATAACTTCTTTTACTTAATCTAACATTTTGTATGAAGTTGATAGAAGACCAAATTCTTACACTTTGTGATTGAGTGAGGTCGTGCATGATCCTCACAACTTTCTAATGGACATTATGTGTGGGCCTAGTAAGTGGCCTATATATATATATATATATATATATATATATATATATATATATATATATATATATATATATATATATATATATATATATATATATATATATATATATATATATATATATATATATATATATATATATATATATATATATATATATATATATGAGGTAGGGCTATATTTATAAAAGGTTCGTAGGGTATATTTATATGAGGTAGGGCTAAGATAGACAGTTGGGGACTTCAGGTTTATGAAGTGTGAAAGTTATATATATTTCTACTTGTTATAAGAAGATTAGTGATTGAAAAATCAAAGAACTTTTCCCCATCATAGTAAATTTTGTTTTGTGCCCTTTCGACAAAAAAGTAGATCTTTAAGATTAAACTACTATTATGTTATCTTCTTCCACCTCTCTTTTATAATTTGTTGTTTAATATTGACTTAATTCCTTTGTGTTTAATTGGTAATTGATTTTTTTAACATCTATTATGTTTTCATTAGTTGCAAGTATTGTTAACAGTCCATAAAAATTGGCGTGGTGTATGGGGATGAAACCAAAAATGCAAACAATCAAGTTTGATATTGAGAAATTCAATGGGTTCAAAGATTTTTGGTTGTGAAAGATCAAAATGTAAAGTGTAAGTTGTCTTCATTCACCAAGGTTTGGGTGATGTATTAAGGGAATAAAAAGTTCCCATCAACATTTTCATCAAAGAATCAAACTCACGACATGATTGAATGCAAAACCAAGATACTACCACTAGGACAATGTTTCAAGACAATCTAAATTTTCAACAAATAATATATATGAACATATTTTATTATATTACTAAAGCCCACAACCGGCCCATCTTTTAGACCTTAGATTATTGATTTGTTTGCTCTGTATCAGAATCGGCCTTAATTAAAGCTTTTTAAGACATAATCAATAGGGGTGTTCAAAACCAAACCGAATCGAATCAAATCAAAACCGTAAAAAATCGTATTTGGTTCGGATGTGTTTGAGTCATTTTCTCGCGGAACCGCAAGATTCGGTTCGGTTTGCGGTTTGTATTTTACAAACCGAACTAAACCAAACAAAACCGCATTATGTTATAAAATCTTACTAACCGATATATATTTCTTTAATTCTTTAGAGAAATAAATGTATATATTTTATCATACCTTGTATTATATTCATTTTAATTTACAAATCATAAAAAAATAAAATATTATTCATTTATAAATATTATTTCCACAAACTATATTTTATCGTATTCTTTGTATAATATTTATTTAAAAATGCAATCTTGTTTATATCATTATTTAGATTTAGATAAAATTATAATACGCAATTTTATGTATCAAATTATAAATTTATTTTTTTGACAATTATAAATTTTTTTATGGTAATGTACGAATAATTAAACACAAAATTATATTTTCCTCTATATTTGTTTGTATGACTTAATAATTTTTTTTGTAAAAAACCGAACCAACCGAACCAATTCAAACCGCATTAGTTTGATTTGGTTTGGTTCGGATTTATTTTTAAAAGTCAACCGAACCAAACCGAACCGCTTGTTTTTTTCTCTTGCGGTTCGAGTAATTTTTTGCTTCAAAACCGCACAAACCGCACCGCGAACACCCCTAATATTCAATAGTAAAAATACTCAAAATCCGATGAAACACAATAAAATTATATTTAAGAGAGGTTGAAATGTATCTTTCATGTGTTTCATTATTACCGAAGAGTTAGAGAACAAATTATCATCACAATATTTCTGAACTGATTAAATTACAGCGTGTCAAATCATTATAAAAAATCCTTAATCCTAATCAGATCATTAAACATAAAAAACATCTCGAAAAAAAATTAAAATATCTTTAGATAAAACTACACATTAATCTGACCAACTAAAATTTTTATATCACATAGGCACAACCTAGTCACAAGGAGACGGATTTATATTAATAAAAACTTTACATATTGTTTTTAATTATAATTAAAACAAAAAAATTTAGATGAGACACAACAAGAAATGTCAAATCCAACATAACAAAGTTATGGAAAAAAATGTTCCAACTATAACTCCACCATTGTAACAAATTTATCATCCAGAAAACTTTCTTGATCTTAACTTCACAAGTCTGAATCTGAAGGAATACTCCCTAGTTCTTGCAAAAACTTAGTCACAGTCTTCAATATGACTTCATTACTTTCACGATACAATTGGTATGAAGAAGTACTTGTGCTTGCATTTGAACCGCTCCTTTTTTGTCTCTATCAATTTAGAACAACAATCCATATATATGATAATTGACATTAAAATTAATATAAAAGATCGCAATTTGATCTCCATAACTATGATCAAGAGAAAATTTAATTCAATAGATGGGATACTTACAATAGAAAAAAAATAGACATACCTTTCGTGGCTTCACCAATGTGTTATTGGCATCCATTATCTGCATTAACTCATCAAACTGAAACAAGTAGTAGATCACCAATTTTTAAAATCGTTTATATGAACATTATTCATAATTGATAAGATAATCTTAAATTTGCAAAATCTAAGAAAATTTTAAGAACGTCAACATTAATTTTGATACCTGTTTGATGATGGTTTCATACTTCTTTATACAAATATATAGTCTTCTTTCATTATCTACTTCCTTAGATTTTATCTCTCCAGCTTTGTGTTTATTGTGAGACATTTGTAATTTTGAGACCAACCAAATATAATTAGTTAAGCTAATTATCTTTTCTATATATAAGGATAAAAAAAAAAGAGTCAAGTGATCATATAAAGATTTATTATTATAAAAAAAATCAAAACTAATGAAAAAAAATACTTTTTAACCATTTTTAAAAATTCTATTCTAGATTGATCATAAAAAATAATATATGGCAAGATATAAAAATACTATAAAAATGAAAACTAATTTTAAAAAATGGGTTTTATAGTGGCTTTAAATATATATGTAAATTATGAGTTTATTAAATTTTTATAAATTGTTTATTTAAAAATAAATTAACTATAGTTTGATGTGTAATTTTATACACATACGTTCAATTATATTTCGAACTTTTTTTTTGGAAAATTAGATATTAAAAAAAATCGCAAATAACAATGTTTCGGAGAAAATTACGCAAATAATCATGTTTCAGAAAACTCCAAAAGAGAAGAGCCAATTCAGTTGACGCATGCACCTTATTTTAAAAGGGAGGCGTCATCTCACTTGACGCCTATGTGTAAAAGGCTTGCCCTAAGCCAAGTGAGATGGTACCTTAGTGCAAAAGGCGGGCAGTTTTTCGCATTTTTTATTTTAAATGCAGTACGTTACGTAAACGATATAGGATCAAGAAAATTGACTTTTTATTTACACAATATGATTACACACATAACAATTACATAAAAAATACAGATGGTCCCCCGGAACCCGGTAATGACCCCCGGTTCCGCATCCCCGTCCTCGCCTTTCCCGTGATGGGTTTCGTCGTGTTTCCTGTTGTGGCAGGGTCGATGGCCCAGCAAAGTCAATGTGTTCTGAATCCATGAAATCAGTCAGATCTCCATATCTAGAAGATCTGCTTTGGTACAGTCGGTTGTCCATACCCTCAAAGTTTAGTCGTGTTGGTGGTGGATGGGGTTCCATGGTTGGTCTATAGCACCGATCGTCTGAGTACGGGGGGTAGAAAGGAAATGGATCTTGGGGTGTTTGGTATTGGGAATGTTGGGTACTTTGGTGATGTTGTAATTGATGGTAAGTTGGGTCGGTTGGTTCATAATCTTCGGACAATCCCAGATCAGGGCTAAGGTTGGATGTTGAGGGGCCCATATTGGGATATGTAGAAGACTGGAATTGTGTGTGGGGTATGCGGGTGTATTGGTATTGTGATTGAAATTGTGGTTGGTGTGAAGCATATGGGGGTATTGGTACTGAGGTGGTGATTATGGTTGGTTGTGGGGCATGTGGGTGTAATTGTATTGTGGTGGTGACTGTGGTTGGGTGTTTGTGGTTCTATTTCGTCGGGGGGTTGGTGGGAGGTTGATGTGTATTGAATTTGTTGTTGGGGAAATGAGGGTTGTGCCCATTGTGTTCGTGGGTCAAACAAATACCTTGGATGAGACACGTACAATTCTGGTGTACTAATCGATCTGCACCAAGCTAAATACTGATCAGTGTGTCGCATATTACCATGGTTGAGGAAAAATGGGAATTGCAAGACATGCCAGTGACGCCTCTGCCACATCTTACACCATTCTGGAGCAAAATCTTTCCAGTTGGTAAGACCCCATTGGGCGTCGACCCTTTTGAGATGCCACAGGGACAAACAAGTCGGATCGCAGGGTATCTCTTGATGCATTCCAAACTGTATCTTGACACGGTCGTTGCGGTGTATCTCCACAACATTGAACCGTATGATTGTAGTCTTTGCACTCCAAATTGCTGCATCCTCGGGGTTTGGTTCAGGGAAAAACCCAAATATGGTCTCTAGACAAACTGGGGATAAAATTAAATCAGCTTAATGAAAACGTAATAAATAAATAATTTAAAATGTAGAAAAGTTGAAAGGTATGACGTACATCATCCGGGCCAAGGTGATCCAATAGATTGCGGTATAGAGCGACATTGAATCTTAGATTCTTACCGTAATCCATACCCCTTACGCAGTACCTAAAGGAATTGAAAAATATTTTATTTTTATCATATATTTGGTGAAGAGATGAATAGTAATAAATGATATAAGTTGATGACTTACTTTGTTGCGTATGGAAAAATGAATGTGTTGTTGTTGACGGGTTTTAGGGACTCCATTCTCCACCAACCCCGGGCTTGAAGTAAAAAAGAGCAGCCATAAAATGTACATTTTTCCTTGATTGCATTTTTACACAAGGAACTGTATAGATGGGCTAAAACAGCAGAACCCCAACTATACTTTCTAGTTTTTTCGAAGTCTCTAAGTAAATTTAAATACATAAAATTTACACTATTTCCCGTACTTTCTGGAAATAAAAAGGTTCCAAATAATATCATTATATAATTTCTAGCTTTTATTACCTTGGCTAGCTTGGAGGAATTTTCGTTCAATTCCAGAGTCGCATAATGATTTTTTAGCTCAGTAAGTAGTATACCCTGACCTCTCGCACCACCACCTTCAACCATATCCCTGCCCAACAATTCTTCACACAGAGAATTGGGTTGTTGAACCGACCCGTTAACCGCCTTACCGTCGACAGGGAGACCCAATAATATGTACACGTCCTCTAGTGTGACGGTACATTCACCTATTGAAGATGAAATGTATGGGTCTTTGGTCTCCATCTTTCCAACATTGCAAGTATGAACTTTGAATCAATCGTGCAGTTGGAGATCTTTATAACGTTTCTGAAACCTGCGTATTCGAGATAGGGTACGATCAACAGGTCGGGAGCAAGGTAGTTGTGTGACTGGATTCTGAATCTTTTAGTATCCTAAGTTAAGAATGTAAAAAGTGTAAGAGTAGGTAAGATGAATAAATCATTAATAGAAGTATGAAAAATGTATAAGTATACAAGAAACTTACAAACGCTGCAATATTGTCCCTTGTGCCTCTATGAGAATCGCCCATTGTGAGAAGAGCCATTGTTGAAATTGTATGAGATTATGAAAGAGTTTGAAATTGTATGAGATTATGAAAGAGTATGTAGCAGAGAGTGAGACGATTATGGATGCAATAGAAGTATGTGAGGCTCTGTATTTATAGGAAAATTTTTATCATAGAGTAAGTGAGGTGGTAGGTGGGTGCATGCATGATAAGTGCCACTCTTGCAGTGTAGGTGCAGGCTACGTAGCAACGTTGGGGAAGGCATCTCTTCATGCATGTAACATAATTGGAAGTGAAGAGAGGCGCCATTGGACTTGGCGAAAGAGTACAAAAATGAAAGGTGTCGCCATCCCTGTTGGAGAATAAGAGGTGGCATGGGTTGCAGTGTAGGTGCAAGCTAGGTGACATCCTTGGAGAAGGCATCTCTGCATGCATGTAACACAATTGGACGTGATGGGAGGCGCCATTGGACTTGGCGAAAGAGTACAAAAATGAAAGTTGTCGCCATCCTTGTTGGCGAATAAGAGGTGGCATGGGTTGTAGTGTAGGTGCAGGCTACGTGACAGCCTTGGAGAAGGCATCTCTGCATGCATGTAACATGATTGGACGTGATGGGAGGTGCCATTGGACTTGGCGAAAGATTACAAAAATGAAAGGTGTTGCCATCCCTGTTGGCGAATAAGAGGTGGCATGGGTTGCAGTGTAGGTACAGACTAGATGACAGCCTTGGAGAAGGCATCTCTACATGCATGTAACACAATTGGACGTGATGGGAGGCGCCATTGGACTTGGAGAAAGATTACAAAAATGAAAGGTGTCGCCATCCCTATTGGCGAATAAGAGGTGGCATGGGTTACAGTGTAGGTGTGGGTTAGGTGACATCCTTGAAGAAGGCAACTCTGCATGCATGTAACACGATTGAACATAATGGGAGGCGCCATTGGACTTGGCGAAAGAGTACAAAAATGAAAGGTGTCTCCATCCCTGTTGGTGAATAAGAGGTGGCATGGGTTGCAGTGTAGGTGCAAGCTAGGTGACAGCCTTGGAGAAGGCATCTCTGCATGCATGTAACACGATTGGACGTGATGGGAGGCACCATTGGACTTGGCGAAAGATTACAAAAATGAAAGGTGTCGCCATCCCTGTTGGCGAATAAGAGGTGGCATGGGTTGCAGTGTAGGTGCAGGCTAGGTGACAGCCTTGGAGAAGGCAACTCTGCATGCATGTAACATGATTAGACGTGATGGGAGGAGAATTAGAGGTTGCTTAATGTTGGTTTATTCAAATTCAGTACAACCTATTTAATCTTACATTTATCAAAACACTCTTATACTTAATCACTCAAACACTAGAACATTCAAAAATTCAAGCAATTAACTCAAATATTTCAAACATTCATACACAATGGCCTCTGCACCCCAATATGTGATCAGTGCAAATTTCAACGGTAAGACATACATTTGTCCCAGCTCTGGGTTTTTGTTTAGAGAAACTGAGAACATCTGATTTTGTTTAAACAGGAAAGCCAATTTCTTGTATTTCAAAAAATGATTGGAGGCCAAACTTGGACGAGGTCCCGTGACACAAATCTTTTATCAGAATCCGTTTTTTTTGGTAACAACCAAATAATATTTTATAAGGTTGAGGTTCAAGATGACGAGGACCTTCAGAATATGTTTTCCAGTCATGAGTATTCTGGGTACGACTCTATTAAGTTGTACATTATATTGCGAGAGCCTCAACTATCACAAGTGGTTGATCCTCTAGAGACTGAACAAGCAGAAGTAGATGTCGTTGATGAAGAAGAAGAAGATGACGAGTTGGAGTTTGACGACATGGTCAACAACGATTACGAAGATGATGGGATACCTGGTATTCCTTCAAACGATATCTACACACCACCTCCGCACATGACAAACTTCAATATGGGCGGAGATGAACCATCATCTGTTTTATTTTTCAATCTGTATATGCAGTCGAATGAAAACATAAAAGAGAAAGACAAATTTAGTAATAGAGAAGAATGTATCTGAGCCATACAAAAATTTCACATGCTCAACTCGGTCGATTTTAAGGTGGACCGTGTAAATCCAGAAAGGTACAAGATGAAGTGTATCCACCCAGA